CCAGCAGTGGGGCCAGGACACTAGAAGCCCTCCCACTGTGCCCCCCCCCAAGAATACAGCATCACTTGCCCCAGACCAAGAGTTCCTATCTCTACCTTGTGGCTAACAGCCACTGATGGACCTCTGCTCCATATGCTTATCCAATTCCCTCCTTAAGCCGTCCATGCTTGTAGCCACTGCCACCTCCTGTGGCAGTGAATTCCACGTGTTAATCACTCTTTGGGTGAAGAAGTACAGGTCATTTGCAGAAGAAGCACCTTTCAACAGTGGAGGAGAGTGCGTTGGCAGGCTAAGTTGAAGTGGCCTTAGCAATGAAGAGCGAAGGGTCTGTTCATCCAGTTCTTAGGTGTGCACCGAAGACTCCACTGTACATCTCAGGGCAAAGTGCCAGTCTGACAAGCAGGTATCTGAGAACACGTGCATCATATATGTTAACCAGTCATACACCAGGACTGGTTACAGTTCTATGCGGCGTCAAGTCTCAGATCTGTTGCTGTGTAATGTGTGAAGTGGCCCACTGTATAAAGAAGACGGCTGGGTGGTACAAACCAGGTCTGGCTTTGTGCCATGCCAGTATTGTGAGTATAAGGCATTTAATGATGCTGTCACAGGCTAGAACTCTTAGTGTTGAAACCAGCCGCACACATGAACTCTTATGCCCAGAATTAAACCTTTGCTGGTCTTAAAGGTGCCACTGGACTCAAACTTTGTTCTGTTGCTTCAGACCAACGTGGCTACCCACCTGAATCGACTTGCGTGTTCACTTAGCTTGAGTTTTATTCTTTTCCCCGTTTTTCCAGAGGAGGTAGATTGGCTCAGTAGCAGAGCAAGAATGGCATACCTTTCATTAAGATGGTGGTTCACAGAAGAACTGCTTCCCCCAAAACCACCAGTTTAGTTTGTGCCATCTGCACCCCTTTGCTCGGTAGTGCTGCCATTCCCTTCTTCTGCTGATCAGCTTCCTCGTAACTGCCTCTTGGAGCTGCAGAAAAGGGAAGACACTCTTGTTGTCCCAGAGGCTACTTTTTAATCAGCTTTATACATTAGTCTACATCCCTTTGTCTGGTCATGGTCCTGATTGTTATGCCTTTAATTTTAGAAGTACTATCATCTGTGGAGTGAATGGTTTCCTGCATTGTTTGGGATGTATGCCCTCCCCCCCCCCGGCAGATTGTACCTTTGCTTCTTTTACTTGTTGTCCCTGTTGACCAGCTGTGAACATAAGAGAAACCATGTTGGACCAGGCCAATGGCCCATCCAGGCCAACAACCCCAGGTGCCACCAGGAGGTTTCACAAGTCCACAGTTCCTCTTGGATAGTTCTGCTTCGAAATTTTTGAAGCATGGCAGATACGTAGAAAACTCCGTTCCCTGAGAGTCTGTCTGTAAGATGCCACAATAATTGTTTTGTGTTCACTCCAACAAGAATCTCAGGAGAGCGATAAGCGTGAGCGATGGCTTATCAGGATGGCCTGCAGATTAAGAGCACTGTTTATTGCTCTACGGCTAAGAGACAACCTGTCTGAGGTCCTTATCGGGCCCCCATCGTCACGGTACCACTGCACTGCCATCTCTTACTTATTTATCTTCCGATACCTCTGCAAATCTGGGCCGGGGCAGCCATTAGTTTGTTTGAACTGCCAGTATCAATCTCGGCCTTATCTGTCACCGAATGAATGAATATCACATTTGTCCTTAATAACTGAACTGAAGGAATACCAGGTTTTTCGTGTGTGGGAAATGCTTCAGGCGTTCTTTCTAGAGAGGAGACATTCAGCATTCTTGCTGATTGGTACATGGAAACCCCCCCCCCCCCCCCCAACAGGGTTAATGTTGGCGGTAAAATTTTATTTTTTTATTTATTTGGACTTGTAATCACCACCACCACCCCGCGAGCAGGCTCAGGGCAGGTTCCAACAATATAAATACAGTGTTAGGGTAAATTAGGATAAATGTGAATTGTTTGCCAAGTAGTAAACAACCACAGTGTACATACAACTATTTTACAAACTGGACATGTGTAGGTGATCTTGGATTTTTATTGCAGATAGAGTTGGAAGAGGTCTAGACACACCTATCCCTCGACTAAGAAAAATGTATCTGGATTAGGGTTGGCAGCCTCCAGGGGTGGCAACTGATCTCCAGGCAACAGAAACCAGTTCACCTGGAGAAAATGGCTGCCTTGGAAGGTGGACTCTCTGGCATTCTACTTCCACTGAAGTCCTTCTCTCCCCCAAACCCCGCCCTCCTCAGGCTCCACCCTCAAAATCTCCCGGTATTTTCCAACCTGGAACTGTCAGCCCTAGTCTGAGTACGGTGCATTTGTGATCAAACCACTTTCCTCCACGTGTTAGAATGTGTTCTTTCATCCTATGTTGCTCTTCCACGTGGTGATGAAAATCTTATTACATTCTTGCACTTGATTGGAAATTTGGGGAAGCAAGGAAGTGGTCAGATTCAACTCACCACACGACCGGACAATGGACGACCAGTTTCATGTTCACATTGTGGTATCTTAAAGGTAAAGGTAGAGGTTTCCCTGGCTCGAAAGACAATCGAATCCGACTCTAGGGTGCGCATCTCCGTTTCCAAGCCGAAGAGCTAGCGCTGTCCAAAGACATTTCCGTGGTCATGTGACCGGCATGACTAGACGCCAAGGCACACAGAACGCTGTTACCTTCCCACCGAAGTGGTACCTATTTATCTACTTGCTTTCGAACTGCTAGGTTGGCAGGAGCTGGGACCAGAGATGGGAGCTCACTCCGTCATGCGGCACTTGGGTCTCGAACTGCTGAACGACCGACCTTCCAGTCTGCAGTTCAGTGTCTTAACCACTTGAGTCACCACAGTATCTTAGCACCCTACAAATTACGTTTTTTGGCACGTGGTTCTGCTTAAGTCCCATGATTTCTATGGGAATTAAGTTATAACTAACTTGTCCCATGGATTGCAGTGGGGGTTAGGTGTGACTAAATATTGTGGATGCCATGAGTGATGAGGTAGGAAGGAGGTTAAGTAAAAAAGATTGGGGGGCGAGGAACTGCTAGCTCAATGGTTGAACATATGCTTGTGGGAAGAGTTCCATCTGTGCTTAGTTCTTGTGGCCCTTTCTTGCACACCCAGGGAAATGCCGATTGCCACTTTGGGTTCAGGAAGCAAATTTTCCAGGCCTGTTTGGCCGGGGGATCCTGGAGGGTTTTTTGCCCTCTTCTGGGCATGAAGCAGGGGTCGCTGGGAGTGTGTGTGTGTGTGTGGGGGGAGGTAGTTGTGAATTTCCTGCATTGTGCAGAGGGTTGGACTAGATGACCCTTGAGGTCCCTTCCAAATCTGTAATTCTATAAGATTCCAGATTCTATGCCTGGTGTATTGACATAAAGGATCTTGGGTAGTTCACAAGCCATAGAGAGCATCTACTCGTGCCAACAGACAAAATTTGTCCAAGTGGACCGTTAGTCTAAGAGAGCTTTATGAACTATCGATAACAGAGGAAGTGGCAACGCTCAGCCCTGCAAATGTTTTCTTACATGAAGTGTCCTGAAAGGGTAACCTCCGCTTAGTCCTCCCAGCTTTTTGTAATTGTTCCCTGTGGCAGCGGTTCTGTGATTTGTCCTGCCTTCTGTGGAAACCATATTTGGCGGTGCCCTCTACCGTTCGCCTCAAAACTCCCACTTGCAGAGAGGCTCAATGTCGTTAGGGACCCCTGCCTTGGAGAACAGCCAGGCTCAAGTTCAGAAGCACCTTAGAGACCAACAGCATTGTGAGAGGGTGGGCTTCCAAGAGCCAAAGCTCCCTTGGCCCGCTTTGTTTCTCAAAAGCTCATAGCCCAAGAATCTGGTTGGTCTCGAAGGTGCTCCTGGACGTGAACCTGGCTGTTCTCCTGTAGACCAACATGGCTACTCTCTGAAACCGCCTTGGAGACGATCCCTGGGGAGGTGCGTTTCAACAGTCAATATTTTTGATCTCAAAAACCCATCTAGCAAATTGAGTCAGTTTATCCTTCATAAATGGCACGGGCTATTTGGTACAAATTCTCGTCTTTTTAGGAGAATGTGTCTCGGAGTTATATCTGGAAACGTGGCTTCCGGAGCTCTATTTTTATTTTTTCATGCAGAGATTGAAATTTTTGTGTGCAATTCTGCAAAACCAATCTCTGTGTGTGCGTGTGTGAATTTGCGGGATTAGTGGGACTGAAATGATTTACCTCCCTTGGTCAGCAACAATTGGATGAATTCCTGGAAGTTGTAAATGCTGTTTGAGCAGTTCTGTGTGCCTGAGGCTAAGATTCTGTTGGAACTAGTAAGAAGCTCAGCAGGATTAAATTGGAGAGGAGGTATTCGAAGGAAGGAAAATGTCAGGTGCAGAAGGAAGCAGTCTTGGTTATTCAATCCAGTGTGCCCTTGCAGCTGAATTCACACTGAACAAAGTTTCTTAGGGCAGAATCGGAAAACCAGCAAAGGGCCTACCAAATTCTCTCCTATGTACTGAATGCCCTCGACTCCTCCCCAGCAAAGTCTACTTCTGCCATCCAAACTGAACTCCCATTGATGCTTTGTGTAGTGGTTAAGTGTGCGGACTCTAAATCTGGGAGAACCGGGTTTGATTCCCCCACTCCTCCACTTGCACCTGCTGATGTGACCTTGGGTCAGTCACAAGCTCTGACACAGCTGTCCTTGAAAAAGAGCAGTTTGTGTCAGAG